GCTGAGCTTGGTCTTCTTTTCAATAGGGGTTAATATGTGTAAGCAATTTTCCATTTCAAATCTTACAAGAATTTTCTTAACGAACTTTCCTTGACCACTTTTATTCATAGACTCTGGTTAAGTCTTCATTTAGATTATTCAATCATTCCTCTCTCTTTAATCTCTCCATCCCTTTTGATTTATATGTGCCCTAGTCTCATGTGCCATATTTATACATTATTGATATCAATATAACACGAGACCTAAGAAATGGAATTCTTTATTAAAGAAGCTTTCTACAAGATGATCAGTCATGACTAATTCATCTCCATATTTCACCTCCACCTTGTTACCATTAAAAATGGTCGTGTAGCTTGCCTTAAGCCAATATAGCGACCGGAACCAAACTCTTCCTTATCTCAAGAGCATAAAAAGTTTGCTTGAGAACCATGCTTTTGCCATTCTCCAGTTGAAGGATGGAATCTCTAATACCCAAGATTTCAGTCTTTTGATTCCCACTCATATAGATATACTTATCCCCAGGGGCAACAGGCTGGAAATTTCTATATCCATCCTTGGTGTTTGACACATGGGTAGTGGACCCTAAGTCAAAACACCATGACCCTACTTTAGGGTCAGCTAGCTTAGTCTCTAGGACTACACAAGCATGCTCCCTATTGCCTTTGGAATTCGCTTTCTTGGGTGTTTTACAATGCTTAGCTATGTGCCCAAATTCTTGCAATTATAGCACTGGGTATTCTTAAAATCTATCTTTTTCTTAGGCCCATTATTCTCTTCTTAATTCTCACTAGTTTCGTTCTTATTCTTTTCTTTGCCTTTATTCTTCTTGAATGAATCAGAGTGAGGTTTAAGGTTTACCAAATTTATGGAGGTCATTCAAGGGCAAAGTATCGTGAGAGAATCTCCTTTCTTCTTCGGCTTTAAGTTTGGTGATGATCTTGTCCAACTTCGGCATGCTCTCCCTTGGCGTAAGGCCTGAAATGAAATTTTCCCATGAGCTTTGCATAGAATTCAACAATTTGCTGATCTGCATAATTTCATCTGGCTTGACTTGTGCAGCCTCGAGTTCCCGAACTAAGGCTTTGAACTGCTATATATGCTCGGTTAACTTGCCTCCTTCCTTCATCTTCAAATCTGAAAATTGCTTCATAGCTATTGTCTTTCTTGTGAGGGAAGAAGAGGCATAATCAGTCTCGAGTCGTTTACGAATCTCCTGGCAGTCTTTAGGTGCTCATACTCAAGAGCATGGGAGTCATCCATGGCCATAAGTAGCACATGTTTTGTTAGAGTATTTTTGTGCTCCCACTGAGCATGAGCTTCTCTTATGGCTTGACTCTCATAAGCATTACCTCTTAGGATTGGTGGGGGTTCATCAGTAAGTATTTGGCTAAGTCCTTCTTCAAAGAGGACATAGCCTATTTTTCTCTTCCAACTAAGATAGTTTTTCCCATCAAGTTTTTCAGTCTGAATAAATTCAACCAAGAAACCTTTGAAGTCATGTTTCTTAGACCAAATAAAAAAACTCCTAAACTATGACACTAAAATATAAAAGCTCTGATACTAATGAAAGGTGTGGCTATGTGTAACTCAAGCTATTTAAATTAAATTTTTTTTCTTTTACTATTATTCCAAATACCTGAATTCCACTTATATGGGCCATAATATGTTGCTGGAAAATTAAAACATTGCCCTAGATACAGCCTAGGATCTTTATTTTTACTGCCAAGAGAAATAAAAACTATCCAGGTACTTTAAACTAATTTTTATTACAATTCTTAGCACAAAACGATCCTGAAACTTTACAAGAAAAATAGAAAATAAAACTAAAACTAAATAAAAACTAATGGGAAGACTTATTGGAAGATGTCTGAAGTTACCCAACCAGGACATGGTACACTCCACACTCGATTCCCCAACTAATGACGCACTTTTGAGGTGTTGCTGAAAATTCTTAGATGAGGAAACTTTTGTAGGCAATCCTTCTTCCTCTCGGATTTCCTCTAGGACTTTAGAGAGCTCAAGAATAATATAGGGTTTATAGAAACCCTATGGAAACAAAACAGGCTGAGCTTGGAAGTTGATCTCTCTAGGTTAGGCTTCTCTCTTCTTTCTTCAAAAAAAGTACAGCAAACCTATTTTTAATTCATCATCTTCTTCTCCCTCAAAAATAAATTACTCAAAATAAAACAAGAGAGAGAAGAGAGAATTGGCGTGAGAGAGACAAACACTCTCTCCTTTTTGGTGCGTGGGTAAGAAAGTGAACTCTCCTAGTTTTGGTGCTTGGGAGAGAGAAAGAACTCTCATAGTTTTGGTGCATGGAAGAGAAAGAGAACTCTCATAGTTTTGGTGGGTGGGAGAGACAGAGAAGATCTTTCAGAAGCGTAAGTATCTTGTCATGGATCGCACATAGGTAATAGGTTCTAGGTCTTTAAATAGAAGAAAATGTAATAAAAAACTTATCTGTTAGTTGGAATAGGATTTCTACGTTATCTAACTTTTAGCAAAACCTTTTATGATAATTAGAAAATTTGTGGGGTGAGAGATTAATCGGAGCCATCCATCCCAAAAATCAGCCATCTTGATTTTGGATAGAAAATTTAAGAACTTTATCCTTGACCTAATCCACTTCTATTTAAAATAAAACCTATCAAATTTAAACTTTATCTTAAATGTTTTCTAGATAATATTATCTAGATTTCCCACAATAATGGGAATCCATATCTCATTAGATTTCCATGTTAGTTTAAAATTAATTTAAACTAAAATAAAATTTTGGGGTGTTACTACTACTCCTCAAAAAGTGGCGTTGGAATAATATGCCACAAAGAGTGGTGTGACTCTTTTCTCTTTTAAAAGAAAATCTTTTTAACAAAATAGGGTGCCCCTATTTCCCTTAAAAATAGCGTACCACTATTTTGCTAAAATGCTGGCATGCCCCCAACCCCTTTCTTCCTAAGAAGGTGGCATGCCATCTATTTAAAATATTTTAAACAATATGAAATATTAAAAAATGGCGTGCTCCCTTGTTTCAAAAATGGCGTGCCACTATTATGCTTTAGAAAAATAGGGTGTGGTCTCTACGTTGCACATGCTCCCCCATATGAGGCTTGATCCTTGGTCCCACATGTGTTATTTAAAGTTATGAAAGTTTCAGATATATCCTTTATAAAAATTACACCAGAAATAATATTTTAAAATTCTGAAAAAAATATTTAAAAGTAAAAAACATTTATAATATTAAGATAAGATATACTCGGAGTGGACTTGTACCTATGGGTCAACATAGATGACAATAAGGGCACTCCACTCGCCCTTGAAACCATGACTCGCAACGGTTCTCTTATCCAGCCCAACAAAATCCCATGAACCACAGTCTCTTTGCTGGGACTCATGATTGGCTTGTCAAAGTTGCATAATAAAACAACGAGAGCATGATCATTGATTATGGATTTTAGTTCCCCCTTCTAAAAGCAAGTTTAGCACTTATGATTACAATGCAAATGGGGTTCTCTCAATGCACATATACATGTGGCTGTCATATGTACATGTTGTGCGGAAGTTTGTTGAGGATTTGGCCTTTGCTCTCAGACGCTTACAACCGCACACAAGAGAGCACACAATTCTCCTAGCCTACAAACATGATCTTTGGGCATCTCTCCGACCTCAACAAGGGATGATCTACATCAAACCCTTCTCGGTTGTGCCACATGCCCAGGGCCAAGGGTTTTGGACATGACCAAGGCAATAAACCGCCCAACCCTGGTCAGTCTACACACACACTCCCACTGAAGTGTATATTCCACTATACATCATTTTACAAGCTCTCTAGGCCTTTAAAGGCCACAAAACCCAACATTACTCTTATAAGGACATTTTAATGTGGCTGATCTTATTAGTGATCCCTCTATGTGTATTTTTAATTCCAATAAATGTTCGGTATCCAATTCCTCCAAGTTTCCTTCCTTAAGTTCGGGCAGTCTGGTGGCTAATTTTTGGTATCTTCTTATGCATACTTTGGTTTAGATTCATGATTTTATAGTCGAACGCTGGTTGTTGATTTTAGACAAGGTAAACACACTTGTTAGTGAAATTTGGAGAAGAGAATGTTAGAAATGTTCTAAAGCATGAGGGGAAACATGTTTTGAGTGAATTAGGTTACAAAATCATCATATATTTACATAGATGAAGGTCCTTGTTTAAATTGTAAAGGATAAACAATAATACACATATAGGAAAGAAGTACTCCTGCTTGCATATGTATGGGCCTATGAGGCAGAGATTTGTTGCTCATACAGCTTATTTATTTGCTCCAGGAATGCCATGCATGGGGTAATCATTCATTAATGGTCCTAGTTTGCTACATACTTTAATAAAATAAAGGAATTACTTATCCTAAGATAGAAAAAATGAAACAATGTAACCATTATGGGTGTTCAGGCATGTGGACTTACAGATGTGTGTCCAAGTGATTACACATGCATATATTTATGCATGCGTGCATGCATGAACACATGAAGGATTGTGTGTAACATATGTATGCGTACATGTATGCACATCTGAAAGTACATATGTGTAAGATTCCTTTTTTTTATGGTTTTATTGTTGTCTTGTTCAATGAAAGATCTTCATAGAGATCAATTGAATCATGTTTTTATATACCCATTTGAGGTCAACATTGTTAGTAGAAATTGCACTAGGCTATCATTTTGAAGATGCTTTAGCAAATTAGTACGAAACATTTGGGTCAATTGCTCAAGTAAGTTTTGTTACAAACAATGATTAATATGCAAATCCATTCTTCATTTGGATATGGTTGATTGTGAGATCCCGTTTAGATCTTTTGCAGGGAAAAATTTGGTCATTGGATAAGTTATGGTTGGAAAATTTGGTCATTGGATAAGTTATGGTGGGAAATTTCTGTAATGGTCATTTTGTACGACAAACTTAAGTGCTATAGACACTTGGGACCTTCACTTATTTTTGTTTTGTTTCTTTTGCAGAATCACAAACTGCCCCTCACTTATGATTTTCATAAATATATGGTTCGTAGCATGGAAGACGAATTTCATGGTATTGTAGGCATTGGGTATGATCTTGTACATAAGAAACACATTTTATCAAAGTAATTTTTTGTTATTAGTTCATGAAATAACTGAGAATCATAACAGAGAGGTGCATTTGGGTACCAGTCAGGGAGCATCAAGTACATTTAGGGTACGATATCATGATCTATTAACTTAAATTTGTGATCTTGTTAGCTATCAATTCACTTTCTAAGTCTTTATTCATGTCCAATATTTCCCTAAATAGATTTTATGTACCATGCCCTTGAAAATCTTCTTCATTAAGTAGTGATCTGATTATATCAGTGAACTTCCACATTATTATCCCTTAAACTTCAGCTTAGAGTTAGACATATCAATTTGGGTGAGGGAGGTCAAGGGTTCATACCTTGGAAGTTTTCTTGTGCCAAGGAATCCAAACAAGCTAACCTAGCCTTGCCTATGGCATTTAGCCTTGATGGTTTGGCATGTTGCGAGTGTAACTTGATTGGGTAGTGTTCATACCCCCTTCCCCTGAATGGAATGGTGGTCAGTTCTTCGCATGCCATGTACTTTCACGTTTTTACAGCCATGTGAGTGAAAGTGAATTAATAATCCACCTATTAGATGGTTTCATAATACACGATCAACCACTAGATATTGTGTTTTCTTCAATGCCCTTCCAATTCAAGGAAGTGCCGTTTGCTAACCTCTGGTGAGACTCTGAGTTTGGTGCTCTTTCTTAGATATTGGAATATTTAAACTGCCACTCTACTACATGCATGTAAAGAAAGTGACATTAAAACTGCCGTCAATTCAGTATTGATAAACAAATTAATATTATATAAATTGAAGGCCATTTTTGATGGAAAGACGTGTATGTGGATATCTTTCATACCCAAATAACAGGCATCCTTACAAAGATTACGATGGGAAAGCAACGCTTAAATCCTGCTAATTTATTGATGTCTGATCATCTCCACATCAGTTTGAGGGAGTATAAATAACCTGTGTATCATATTTGTTGTATTTGTGTATTTCTTTGATGTGTTTTTATATTTATTTATTTTTATTTTTTTGTGTATTTCCTTGATCGTGAGTATTAATTGCACAATTCAGTAGGGCTTGTAGTAGATTTTATTAATTTAATGGAAACTGTGGATGTTTACCTTGCTCTTGTACTCTTTACCATTCTTTCAGCCCCATTTTGAGCTTGATGAAAAATATACAACAGATTTTTCCATCTAGTTCTTCTAACTGACTTCAGTTGTTATGTCATCTGTGAAACTATCTTAGATGAAAGAAAGCTTAATTGTATTCCATCAATATGGACATGAAATCTAAGCAACAAACTCTCTTGTTCAATATTTCAATGCAGTCATGATCTTAGCTTGCTGGATGGGGCTGTTAGAGTCTATATAGGTACTCAGGGTATTTGCCTAAATGTTTGTGAAATTCTAAGGAATAAGCACAACAATATATGAAGTGCTTCTTCACCATAGCTTATTGTAGTATATTTCGAATTGCTGTACGATAAGGATGTATTAGTGGTATTCTATGTCGTACATGTGCTGTCCAAAGTATAAATTTTGGTAGCTAGGTGCCTGGTTCTCTTGCATCGTATCTTTTTAGGAGTTTTTAGACTTGGACTCACCAGTTCAGACATGTAAAATGGAAATGTGTTCTTTGTCCCAATTGATCATTTTGCTGTATATGTTAATGTACCTTGGAAGACAATGGTCCTATTTTAAGAGAGGCATCCTTGCACGAGTTTAAATTAGGGAGATTTACTTGGATATCCCGCATATATCTGTTATTTAAACCCCCTCCCCCTTCCCCTCCCAAATTTTTTTTTCTAACAACCACGGCCTCAAATCTCAAGATCCTATGTTTACTGCTTTAGACCTCTGAAGTTGATTTGAGACCTTAACTGTCATGTACAAAAACTTCGGATCTTCAAGGTCCAAAGTATGTTTATGAGCAGAAAAATATTGAACTTTAGACCTTCAAGGTCTGAATAGGGACATTTTGAGAAAAAAAAAAGAAAAAAGAAAAAAATGAACATAATATGAATTCTTGAGGGGGACTTTTTAAATAATGGTAATTTAGGGGATTTATTAATGTACAATTCTCTTTAGATTATTACTGACGACATAAAAATTTCATGCTACAAGAAGATGTATAATGATCCTTGCTTTTGGCTTCATTATTTTTTATATTATTACCTTATGTCCATGATGGCTTCTTGATGGTGGGAAAAATTATACTTATTTTTAATTTCTATTCTATTTTAATAGATGTATATTTTGATTTTAGTTTTAGGGTTTAATTCTAAGGTTTTTTAGCTTCTAGGATTCGAGGGACTTTTTAGATATTTTAATTAAAGTTAGAGTGTTTAGTTTCAAGTTATGCATAAGTTAGGCCCTTTTGGTCAAAAGTTAATTTTATAGCAAATGTTGTCCAAAACAATAATTTTTCAATATAAATAAGGTCATGCTGGGCTAAAAGAGTCATTCATGTATTCCTCTTTAAGAAAAGAAAGATTTTGTCTTGTAAAAGAAGCATAAGGCTTGAGCTCTAGGTAAGAGAAAACTGTAGGGTTTCTCCAAAATTTCTTGTGTCAAGCTACTTTTTGCTGAGTTTTATATTTTTCAAATTTCCCCTGCATCAAAGTGGCATCAGAGCTCGTGATCTACATGGAAGTTACCATTGCAAGTATGGAACTTACTGTAGCAAGTACATAAGTTATTGTAGAACATACGGATTTACTGTAGCACCACTGTTTTTGGTGCCCTAGGTCAACAACAATGAGGGGAAGTTATAATTGGGTCTAGGGTTAGTTGATTTTGGCCAAAGTTTTACCAAAACAATCTAGATCTTGCTGATTTTAGCAATTTTTGTTAATTATTTGCATAGAGTTTGTGATTTCGGCAAACCTATACTAGTGGGAAGGGACTGTAGAAGGGGGATTTTCGTAGTTCGACTCCGTGATCCCATAGATGACAAAATTGAGGAACTTGAAAGGCAAGTACAACAGTTGGCGTAGCAGTTTGCGAGCTTCAATAATGGGCAAGACGGTGGTGATCTTTCAGCCCAAGAGGATCTGGAGTGCAAGCATTTTCACTTTTGCGCTCCGCGTGTGGAGTCGGGTGATGAGGACAGCAATAGAAGACCTAGATGTGGGGATTATCATTCTAGGGTTTTCGATTTCATGGATGAAATTTTTTGTTTTGACACCAATTGTATGGAAAATCAGCAAATTTTAGATTGGGTTTCACCATCAATCTTTGATATATACTCAAATGAACTATAAAATCTTTTAGGAGATCCGATCTATGATAAGGATCAAGATGATCGTGAAGATATTTTGGAAGAGTGGGAAGAATACGGAGAGAAGGCAGCAGGAGGACTGATCAAAATCATGCCCTTTGAATGTCTCATCAATAGTGAAGAGGTCGAATGTTCAACAAATTTAGGGCATTGGAATCAGAGTAACGCGATGGAAGTGTGGTCGTCCCAACCGTAAATTATGGCCTTGATTTCAGAAAATGATCAAATAGATGTTGAAAAAACCTCCAAGGACCAAAAAATTGAGTTTGGAATATCTTACATGATTTCCAATGGGAATTCAAAGATAACTGAATTTGATAAATTTGCTTGGATTCCTCAATATGCATATCAGGACCCATTTCCTGAGGATTGTTTTTTACCTTGAATAATATTTGAGCCGACAAGGAAAAAGAAGGTAGTTTTGATGCTGAATTCATCTTTAGCACAATTTAAAACTCGAAGACGAGTTTTCTCTAACAAGGGGAGAATGATGGAGGGAAAAATCATATTTATTTTTAATTTCTATTCAATTTTAAAGGATGTATATTTTTATTTTAGTTTTAGGGTTTAATTCTAGGGTTTTTTAGTTTCTGGGAATTCTGGGGACTCTTTAGATATATTATTTAAAGTTAGGGAGTTTAGTTTCAAGTTATACTTAAGTTAGGACCTTTTGGTCAAAAGTTAATTGTATCAACAAATATTGTCCCAAGCAATAATTTTTCAATATAAATAAGGGCATAATGAGCTAGAGAGTCATTCATGTATTCTTCCTCTTTAAGAAAAGAAATACTGTCTTGTAAAGGAAGCCTAAGGCTTGAGCCCCAGGTGAGAGAAAGCCTTAGGGTTTCTCCAAAATTGCTTTGGCAATGTGTTTTTTGCTGATTTTTATGTTTCTTCAAATTTCCCCTACATCACTTCTGGTAACTACTGTTAGATGTATAATGGTCCTTGCTTTTGGCTTCATCATTCTTTACATTATTACCCTATGTCCATGATGGCTTCTGGTAAATACTGTTTTAGTCCTTTTTGTTCAGGAATGATCCATGTATGCCTTCTTTGCGGGATATTAACCTTCAAAATTCTTATGTTCAAGAACTGCATTCTGACTTACCTATAGTTTATTTGCATATGCACATGGGGATTTCTTAGCAATCATATATTTTTTTGATAATTTTGATATAGTACATATTATGATACTAAAGCATGGTTTTTGTTGATCAATTTTGCAGCTGGCCACTTTGGGGTTATGCTATAGTCTGCATTTTTGTGAATGTCCATGGTAATGCCTTAAAAGACTCATGTTCAGCACTGGAAAATTATGGGATAAGGTCTATCTATATTGATAAAGGACTCCAACAATAAAGTCCCTCCACATTGAAAGTGACTTTAAGACTTAGTTTACATTTGACCCATTATTTGTGTTTGTTTTACTTCGTGCAGGCCTTAATATTTATTTATGGTTGTCTTTCATCCCTGCAATTGTAAGTATTTCTCTTTGCTTTGAAAGGAAGCGAGTTCCTAATATTTCAATGTTTCCTTCACCTTCATGGATGGCTGATTGAACTTCTGCTTGCGTGCATTCAATATGGATGAAGTTGATCTTGGTTGTTGGCACAAAACTTCAGCATGTAGTGGCATGTTTAGCTCTTGAAATTGTAGAAACAACTGGCCCACTTACAGGGAATCAGCTAAAGCCACGTGATGAGCTCTTTTGGTTTGGAAAACCTGAACTACTTTTATGGTTGATACAGTTCATTTCCTTTCAGGTTGGTGAAATGTAACTATGACATTTTTTGGCATTATAAGGTCATCCGCTCTTCGAATTTGATTAATATTTTTGTTCTTGTGCATGCAGAATTCTTTCGAAATGGCAACATTTATCTGGTCATTGGTAAGAAGCCATTTGATCTAGTGCAGAATATGAATTAGCTCTGTGGCTACTTTCTGCTGGAGATGTCTTCCAGTTCCTTACCATTTCCTTTTTGACTCTTTGTTCAATAAGAGTATCTTTTTTAGTTTCGCCCAGCACCTAAGCGGGCGCCCAGAACCTGGGCGGCACAGTTGAATCCAGAAAGGATTCTACAGTGATATATTATATAAAATATAAGAACTAGGTATTTAAGGCACATTAGAGTTGAAAGTATACTGCACATTAGCACACACTCTATAAGCATGACCATAAGTTGGTCCATAATCCATATCCAATTAAAACTTAAAATTTACCATTCATAGTTCAATCAAAGTTCAAAGTTTAATAATTATTCAACATTCATCATTTATCATCAGAAAAATTAGGGTCAGCAAATTAGGGTCAGCTGAGTTGGCATCATATTCATCGGAGCTGTTACCCTCCTCAACATATTGGTCGCCCTCCTCCGTCTCTTATGAATCTACCTCTTATTCCTCATCTTCCTCCTCCACCCTCATTCTCTGTGTAGAAGATCTAGTGGCCCTAAGAGGGTCAGCTGATGTCCCTATAGCATCCATGACCATGTCCCATATCAATCCTTCATGTTCTTCTACCTCATCATCATCAACTAACCACTCCATAGCGTTGTCCATATTTTTTGATCTGATGGAGTCTCTCTTATCTCTCTTAGCAAACCTGTCATTCAAGAATCGATTATACTTGACATAGACTAGGTCATTGAGCTTCTTTGATTCAAGCATGTTCCATCTCTTTGTATGAATCCAACAAAATCAAATGAAACTCATTAAAATATGTGGTTTCATGTATTATTAATACAATTATATAAATTACTCTTACGACCTTATCCCTTCAAAGTACTCCAATTGCGCTCACAACCGGATGAGGAAGTGGTTAGGTTTAAGATCCGAATGGCCAACTTTTGTAAATTTAGAGAACTACACCCATGTTGGCTCCACCAATTGGATGCAAAGATAAAGAATAAAATCATAAATAAATAATAGAATTATAAAAATGAAACTTGATTACTTGAACTTGATGAACTTAAGAATGTTATTACTGTTTGGATCAATTTTGTTCCTTTGCCTCATCGCCATTGGACTCACAAAAGATTTTAATGAGCACATGTAATTTATCAGCTCATCAGCGCATATAATATCCTGGATATCAGGATCAGGGACTAAGACATCTACACACTTATTAATTCCAATCATAATTGTGCTATTTGTGTGTATATCCTTGTAAGCATAAAAAAAAACTGGGTTCAAATAATAACTAGTTGCATGCAATGGCCGATGTAGCTGCCTATCCCACTTCTCATCAATAATCTCCTAAACAGGCTTGTAGCAGTTCTCATCATTATCAAAATTTTGGGCTATCTCTCTTTTGCATTTCTCCATAGCCTCATATATATATAGCCCATAGAAGGCTTGTCACTATCAACCATGCGAAGGACTTTGACAAGAGAAAAAAATACCTTAAAAGCGCCCTTCACCCCTTGCCAAAAAGCAGTATAGAGGATAATATCTCGCCCCTTCTTCCCAACCTAATCTTTGGACCACTTGCATGCTCTCCCGTCATCCGAGGTAAACATCTTCCGTAACTACACTGTCCTCGAATGTATGCTATCTAGGTATAAGTACCAGGTCGCAAATCTCGTGACCACAGGCCTTGCAATCTCTTTCTTTTTTGTAAATCTACGCATCATGCTGAGGGTGAGATGGTGGCCATAAATGAAATTTGTAACTGACGTTTCCTTCTTCACTGCACCTGATATCTCGGTTAAACTACTAAGAGCCTCAAGCATAAGGTCTATACAATGTGCTGCACATGGTGTCCAAAAGATTCTAGGATAAGCTATGCACAACAAATTAGCTGAAGTAGCATTAGGAGGGGCATTGTCTGTGACAACCTGTACAACATGATGCTCCCCAACCTCCTTGATTCCCTTCTCTAAAACTTGGAATATGTAATGGGTATCATGGATATGATTAGAGGCATCAATAGACCTCAAAAAAACAGTCCCTAAAGGTCAATTCACAAGCAAATTCATCCGACTTCTTCTCTTTCTATCACTCCAAGCATTAGTCATAATAGAAACCCCATACTGAGCCATGCATCTTTCTTAACTTCTGCAGCTTCCTTCCTGACACTCACCACCTTTTTCAAAAAAGGCACTTTCTCTCATCTTTTTTTATTTTTACTATATTCAAAAAATTGGTTATTTCCTCTTTAACAACATTAGGAGTCTTTTTACATTGGGCAACATCTCCCCTGATACCGACAAGATGTTTCTTGAACCGGTTTATGCCCCCTTTTGTATCCTTCTCACAAAAATTGCATCTTATACAATTTTTATCATTAAGATCTGGGTTGTAGTCATATTTTCAACCGAGATCACCACTCCTATTAGATCCCGAAGAAGACATCTCAAAATAATGCAATTTATATAAGCAATAAAAAATATCACTTACTTTGAGTTTGATTGCTCAATCTTCAAACGTCCACCTCAAAGATGCTTCTAAGGACTCAAAATCTTCCAAAAACCGCCCCAATAGATTTATAAAACATCAAAAATTAAATCATATATAAATGGGTAATGTTTTGATCAATTTCTCATAACTTCGAAAAACCCTACAATCCTAATAAGTTTTTTGGGGGCTTTCTCTCTCTAATAAGTTTTAGGTTTCAAATGGACCTAAACTCCCCATTTTTGGCCCTTTATTATATAAAAAAAAAGGGACAAAAAATAACCATAACGAAACTATTTTCTGCCTCTGGGTGGGGTGCAGTTCCTGGGCGGCCGCCTATGTCTGGGCATTGAGTAGCCGTCTAGGCGGGTGCCCAGGGACCACCACTTGTTTAGGGCGCCTAGGCCTGTGCGATGCGCCCACCCCTGATCCTCCCAACGTTGGGCGATCCACCTTTTGGAACACTGGTAGCAGCAGTGAAATGTAAATGCATCTTGGTTATTACTTCCAAGGATATGATAGCCTGCCCTCGTCCATTCCTTCAGGAACCATGGTTTTAAAATGCGGCAGCGTCGCCGCATCATGCCGTATGCGGTGGGCTCCGCACCAGAAATGATAGCATATGAGCTTTTGACCTATGCAGTCGCATATGCGCCGCATCATGCCGCATCTCGCATCACACCGCATCGCACTGCATCCCCTTCTGCCAAAGTTTTTTTCGATTTTGCCCCTCGGGGAGGGGTAAAATGGTCTTTTTGACCATCCAAAAGTGGGAGAAACTGTTTGGGGGGTATTAAACCCCCTAAACGATGATTTCCAGCCACTTTTGTGGCTTTTTTTGGATCAAATCGAGAGAAAAAAAAATTGGCGAAAATTTATTTCTCATTCAAATCTTCGATTTGGCGGCTGTTTGATACTTGGATGTTGATTTGATGCTTTTGATTGTTAATTTGGGAATGTTAGGGTGAATTTGTGATAAGAAATCGGGGGTTTTAGAGGCCGTGAAGAAATCGAACACTGCTTCACAGAGTTAGTAACTTTTTATTCCTTCTTATATAGTAATATTGTAATACTTATTTTTGAGGCAATGTCTTCTTTCCAATCTTCTAGTAATAAGGATCTGGCTTGGAAATATGCTAAACTTAAAAATCTGAAAGATAAAAATTGTGTGATATGCTTACTCTGTGGAAATACTTATATGGGTTGTATTTTTCGACAAAAAGAGCACTTAGCCAGAATTTCTGGGAAAGTAAAAGCATGCTCAAAATCTATAGATGCTATAAAAAGGAGATTAGAGAAGATTTGGATAGATTGAAAAAAGATAAAGAGAAGTAAAAAATGAAAAGTAAAGAATTACTTGATGATGTGCAATTATTTGATGATGATATGTCTGAAGTTGCTATGAGGTAAAGGGGTACTCGTACTCCAATCTCAAGAGAGAGGGTTATAAATATTGGTAGTGTTGAAAGAAGAACACATCTCTCTAAGGGGTCAATGGATGCTTTTTGCATCCCTAGCCTTGAAATTGTGGTTCAGGAGAAAGAAAAAAACAAAACAAACCACAATTGAAAATAGATATAAGAAAGAACAGAAGAAGTAGATATGTAAGTTGATTGCAAAGTGGATTTCTATGGCTGGCATTCCGTTTAATACTATAACTCTGGATAGTTTTGCATGTATGGTCCAGGCAATTGGGCAATATGGCCCAGGGGATAGTGGATAACTGGATACAAAATCTCTGGCATATAATAATTTTGAAGTTAATCATTAAACTAAAATACCTATTATCACATATATCACCTCCATATTTTTTTCTATGCATTAACCTATTTTTTTAGATTTTTTAAAATTTTTTTACATTTATTGACCGCATCGTCACGATGCACCCTCATCCGGGCCACATCATTGCATCGGCTTCCCCACCACTTTTGGTTGCATCCCGCATTTTAAAACACTGTCAGGAACTTACTTTCTTGGAGTAGGACAACATGGAATTAAAATGTGATGTGATGTTTCAATCATCAACATTGTAACCATTGAAGCTAGTGCCCACTTAGCATTGATTCTTAATGAGTATTGATGCTTAGATTCCTAATTGATCATTTAAGTAGCTAATTTATTTTACTTCTTTGTTTTATAAGATGGTTGTAAGACCAACCATGTTTTATAGGGAGGAAGATTGGGTGGTCACGAAACACAATATCCATAGATAGAGTGTAGCTGAGAAGAGGATGCTAAGATTGTTGAGTGGCGACAAAAAAACATAGAATTTGGAATGAATACATCCGAGGGAACTTAGGGGTAGCTTCAATATAGTGGATCAAAAAAAGGATTGGTGCCCCGGATCGAGCACCCCAAAAACCCATTTGGATTGGTGAATCGGTGTTTTGGATCGGGAATTGGCAGAATCGATCAGATTCGGCCTTTAATAAAATCTAAAAAATTATTAAAAATCATTATAAATATTGTTTTTTAGGAATCAAATAAGAATTAGGGGTACTACATTAATAACTTTCATTTTTTTGCATCAATATGCGAATATTGAGATGTTCTTTCCCTGTATGAACTATTGTTAACCTTTAAATTTACATCACACAAAAGTTGAAGCATATAATTATCATGGATGAATTATATAATCATATATGGACTACAATAAAGCATATAATTCGTAAAATACGACCTAATACCAAAATGAAAGAACGATGTTGTTCTTCATCTTGGTCACGCTGGTGCCATTGATTGAATTCGCGTGACAATTCATTGACTCGATCTAGGAACGAATCATCTAAATTAATGGGCACCTGAGATTAATTCACACTTTTAATCAACAAATTGCTTTAAAATTAATTAGTCAAAGAACCCTAAATTTTACAATATGTATTTGCATTAATAAAGTTGAACAACACAAGTTATTTTCACATTATAATTATAAATTGACAATCAATTGACTATAATTCACAATGTTATGATATTAAAAATATTATGTAATGAAATTTTATGTAATGAAATTGAAATTATGTAATGAAATTGCAATTGTTGTTTATATTTTATAATTATTTTACTATACAAATAAGGACAAATCTAAAATGTCTTATAATATCATCAAATTTAAACAATCTTATTTACGACTATAAGAAAAATAATACATTACATAATTTATAATGTAAATAAATAAATAAATAAAATTCAAGATTTGGTTATCAATATATAATTATTAATTATATTATTATAGTAAACGTGATTAAAAAATTATTAGCAAATTCTTCCATATCATATAATTAAAATTAAAAATAAAACCCCCAATAAATTCTAATGTTATGATATTAAAAAAATTCAAAAAAACTTTACCCAAAAAAATGAAAAATAAAGATATCAAAATTCAAAAAAAAAATCCACAATATGCACAATAGCTACAAAAAAATTAAAAATAAAATAAAATATGGTAATAAAACCTATCAAAAAAACCATTTTACTAATAAATAAAAAAAACTTTTAAATGGCTGTTTTTTAATTTGACACACTAATTAATTTATTTAATTAAAAAAATATGTTGTTGAGGCTCATTTAATATGACACGTTAATTTGGAAACATGACACACTCATTAATATGCCACACTAAAATTCGTAAATTCGAGGTCATGCTAATTTGATATGGCATGCTTCAAAAGCATGCTCATTTAATTGACACCCATGCAGTTTTATCATAGGAGTGCATCTGGGATTACTCACCCAAGAAAAGCGTAGACGCACGATCTACCCTAATTTACTGTGCTAAGGCGGTTGACTGGCTTGCTCAAAAAAGACACAAAAATTAGTCCCACATTGACAATTTTTGGAAGGTCAAGTTTGTTTAAAATGGAGGTTACCATCCCAGTTGGCATGAGCTTGACACGTGGAGGAGCCTGAACTCATGAGCTCGTGTGCGTTAATACGTAGCACGTATTTTAATTAACTCTAGTAATCGAAGTCATCAATTTGATTGAGCTCCAGTAACCGACGTCGTCAATTCGATTGAGCTCCAGTAATCGACATCATCAATTTGATTCTTGGATGCAAATCGTCCGTATTCCGTGTTATTAGCAGAACCGGAATGGTGTCACCGATACCCGATCCGGATCCCCCGATTCCGGATTGGATTGGTGCTTTTTTAAATACTGCTTCAATAGGTGAAAAGATGTGCGAAAATAAACTTAAGTGGCATGGCCATGTGCAGTGTCGACGTAGAATAACACCAGTTAGGAGTGGTAATTTGGTTCAAGTGGAAGGCTTTAAAAGGGCAAGGGAAAGACCTAAAAGGATATAGATGTAAGTGGTGAGAGCTGAGAAGAGATGTGGTGACTTATGGTTTGATTGAGCGTATGGTCCTTGATAGAATGAAATGAAAAAACATGATTCGGGTAGCCGACCCCAAATAATTAGGATAAGGCTTAGATGATAATAATTCTTTATTTTACTTGGCTTGGAAGATTGATCATTTCTTTCAATTGCATGCTTTGTTGATTGCATCTCTAGACAAATCATCGAACTATTGTTCAATTTCCATAATGGAACCAAAAATATTATATGTAGAATTTATACGGACTCACAAATATTGTCAGAATCTCAACAAATGGAACTATAGAGCAGTCCATAATCATCTGAGTCTTATTCTGACTATTTAGGGTCAACTACACAAATCTTGTTTTGTCGTTACTCTATCAAGGGGAATACCCTTAGTCAGATGCCACTACAACATGCGCCTACGGGGAATGCCCTAGCATGAGCATATTGGATCAGGAACTATAGAACAATTGCTAATAAAAAATAGACAAAAGAGAATGTTGTCATCAACTGATTGAATTTCAACAGTGCCAACATTAATGTGTGTGCGCTTTCCTGTTGATGTCAATGTATGTGTGGAATTTTGTATGTATATGTTGTAACTACAGGGTTGAATCCAATGTTTTTCAAGCAATTTGAGAATAAGGTTCAATATATAGAGCATACATTAATTTGTGGGAGAATGAGCCATTAGGGTTCTTATATGCATTTTATTATGATGCCATTGCTATAAAACATGGACATATGCATTGCTGTCTTCAAGAATGGTTGTAGGACATAAAAACATGGATGATAATAAACTATAAATAAGTACACAAATTATGAAGATGCCGTCATACATAGGCGTGCATATGTATCTACAATGTATAAATATTCAATTATCCCCCAATCCTGCTGGGATGACAATGAAACTGATGAAACAACAAATATTTACTAAGTTGGAAGAGCCCTTGGCCTAAGTGGTCAGGGTGGCAAAGCCACAATATGATGTTTAAGGGTTTCACTCCTACCTTGTTAACATGTCCAAAACAAAAATTATTTACCAAGCTACCTTTTATGTGGCAAACACATTTTCTATTTTCTCAGTTTGTAATAATTGATGATGAATCTACCATAATGAGTTCTATGCAAATGAGTTAATAAAGACTAAGTTCCTTCTCTTCATCAAGCCAAGCTGAAGCGAAGCTTAAGCTGGTCGTCCACCGTTGTAAGCCAATATTTTATATGCCCAAGCTTGGCTTGGCTCAGCCTGTTGACATTCCTAAAAGTGGTGTATTGGTTGGTCATTTCCTTTTGGAATTTTTTTTGTTCTATTATATTTTGAAGTAGTTTTAAAGTAATTAAGTCATTTAAAGGTTTGGTCATCATCCTTCCTTCTTGATCCTTTACATTGTATGTCCTTAGGGTCAGCCATAACTGGTATATAAGTGCAAGAGACAGAAGATATGTTGTTAGATTGCATGATTTCTTATGTTTCTTTATGCCCTTTCACTGGGTACAGATGTTATGAGGCATTGTTGTCCAGCAATGCATAGGCATTTAAATTTTATTTATTTATTTATTTATCACATTTAATGGAGCTATATTACTCAATTGATGTCATTCATGTTCCTATGAATAAAAAGATGGATTCCTCCCTTGGCTAAGACTTTCATGGAATTTGTTTTGACCATGCTCTGATGGGGTCATCATATTTTGGACTAATCATATTTTGAGCTACCATTGTTGGCATTCTTCTATCTTATTTATCTTTTGTTGGATTATTTTTAATGAACAATTCTATTTATTTTCAGTGGGGTATAAAGGCACAAACTTGTTTCATGAAGAATAGTTCCATGGTTTTCATTCGATTGATTTCTGGGTATGTTTCGTGCTTTATTTCATGCACTGTTAGTGTTGCATTTAGGGGAGTGACCATGAAAATAATTTTGTTAATGAAACTTTTCGTTTTCTGTAAAAGCATTAAGACTTGATTTCTACCTTTTTCTTCTAAGTGCCTATAGTTTTGCCCCATGGCATTGGTAGAAATGTTTTTAGCTTGTTTACTGGACTTCAACGAATCCGTTTCTCTCATCTGGGCCTTGTCATGTCTTTTGGAGTATCATGAACAAAACTACTGTTATGGTGGTTTCCGTTATGGTGCCGCAAATTAATGGGTAACCTGACTGACATAGAGTCATCTCAATACTTGTGAATTACATCTTATGATTCTGATCATGGTTTCACTCGAACATCGATCTATGGTGAGAATAATGTATTCTCTAAATAAAAAGTGCTCCCATAGATCCCTCAAACCCTGCTCACTACAGCTTTACTTTTGTAATTTTGAATCTCACTCCAAAGAATCTCGGTCCACATGAACCCAAAATCTTGAGTCGAATAATCTATATCAGAAGTCCTATGCTTGCTATAATTTTTCTCAAAATGGCCACTCTATATGAATGCTTTTTTCGTCTTAGATGAAAATAACAAATTCCGAGAACATGCCCCCTACATGGGGGTTTAAAGAGCATCACATACATATAACTTTTGGTATTTGGGGATGGGAAACATGTGTTCACAATCGTTCTTGGCCACTCAAAACTTTTACAGCTCTCTTACACTCTTATATATATATATATATATATATATATATATATATATA